CAAACCCATTCAAATCTCATCCGAGTACTGTGCCTGCCACACCAAACCCATTCAAATCTCATCCGAGTACTGTGCCTGCCACACCAAACCCATTCAAATCTCATCCGAGTACTGCGCCTGCCACACCAAACCCATTCAAATCTCATCCGAGTACTGTGCCTGCCACACCAAACCCATCCAAATCTCATCCGAGTACTGTGCCTGCCACACCAAACCCATTCAAATCTCATCCGAGTACTGTGCCTGCCACACCAAACCCATTCAAATCTCATCCGAGTACTGTGCCTGCCACACCAAGCCCATTCAGTTCTCATCCGAGTACTTTGCCTGCCACACCAAACCCATTCAAATCTCATCCGACTACTGTGCCTGCCACACCAAACCCATTCAAATATCATCCGAGTACTGTGCTTGCCACACCAAACCCATTCAAATCTCATCCGAGTACTGTGCCTAACCCATTCAAATCTCATCCGGGTACTGTGCCTGCCACACCAAACCCATTCAAATCTCATCCGAGTACTGTGCCTGCCACACCAAACCCATTCAAATCTCATCCGAGTACTGTGCCTGCCACACCAAACCCATTCAAATCTCATCCGAGTACTGTGCCTCCCACTCCAAACCCATTCAAATCTCATCCGAGTACTGTGCCTGCCACACCAAACGCATTCAAATCTCATCCGAGTAGTCCTGTGCCTGCCACACCAAACCCATTCAAATCTCATCCGAGTACTGTGCCTGCCACACCAAACCCATTCAAATCTCATCCGAGTACCGCGCCTGTCAAACCAAACCCATTCAAATCTCATCCGAGCACTGTGCCTGCCTGCCACACCAAACCCATTCAAATCTCATCCGAGTACTGTGCCTGCCACACCAAAACATTCAAATCTCATCCGAGCACTGTGCCTGCCACACCAAACCAATTCGAATCTCATACCGAGCACTGTGCCTGCCACACCAAACCCATTCAAATCTCAACCGAGTACTGTGCCTACCACACCAAACCCACTCAAGTCTCATCCGAGTACTGTGCCTGTGCCACACCAAACCACTCAAATCTCATCCGAGTACTGTGCCTGCCACGCCAAACCCATTCAAATCTCACCCGAGTACTGCCTGCCACACCAAACCCATTCAAAATCACATCCGAGTCCGGTGCCTGCCACACAAAACCCATTCAAATCTCATCCGAGTACTGTGCCTGCCACACCAAACCCATTTAAATCTCATCCGAGTACTATGCCTGCCACACCAAACCCATTCAAATCTCATCCGAGTACTGTGCCTGCCACACCAAACCCATTCAAATCTCATCCGAGTACTGTGCCTGCCACACCAAACCCATTCAAATCTCATCCGAGTACTGTGCCTGCCACACCAAACCCATTCAAATCTCATCCGAGTACTGTTCCTGCCACACCAAACCCATTCAAATCTCATCCGAGTATTGTGCCTGCCACACCAAACACATTCAAATCTCATCCGAGTACTGTGCCTGCCACACCAAACCCATTCAAATCTCATCCGAGTACTGTGCCTGCCCCACCAAACCCATTCAAATCTCATCCGAGTACTGTGCCTGCCACACCAAACCCATTCAAATCTCATCCGAGTACTGTGCCTGCCACACCAAACCCATTCAAATCTCATCCGAGTACTGTGCCTGCCAAACCCATTCAAATCTCATCCGAGTACTGTGCCTGCCACACCAAACCCATTCAAATCTCATCCGAGTATTGTGCCTGCCACACCAAACCCATTCAAATCTCATCCGAGTACTGTGCCTGCCACACCAAACCCATTCAAATCTCATCCGATTACTGTGCCTGCCACACCAAACCCATTCAAATCTCATCCACACCTATTCAAATCTCACTCAAATCTCATCCGAGTACTGTGCCTGCCACACCAAACCTATTCAAATCTCATCCGAGTACTATGCCTGCCACACCAAACCTATGCAAATCTCACCCAAATCTCATCCGAGTACTGTGCCTGCCACACCAAACCTGTTCAAATCTCATCCGAATACTGTGCCTGCCATACCAATCCCATTCAAATCTCATCCGAGTACTGTTCCTGCCACACCAAACCTATTCAAATCTCATCCGAGTACTGTGCCTGCCACACCAAACCTATTCAAATCTCATCCGAGTACTGCACCTGCCACACCAAACCTATTCAAATCTCATCCGAGTACTGTGCCTGCCACACCAAACCTATTCAAATCTCATCCGAGTACTGTGCCTGCCACACCAAACCTATTCAAATCTCATCCGAGTACTGTGCCTGCCACACCAAACCTATTCAAATCTCACTCAAATCTCATCCGAGTACTGTGCCTGCCTCACCAAACTATTCAAATCTCATCCGAGTACTGTGCCTGCCACACCAAACCTATTCAAATCTCACTCAAATCTCATCCGAGTACTGTGCCTGCCACACCAAACCTATTCGAATCTCATCCGAGTACTGTGCCTGCCACACCAAACCTATTCAAATCTCATCCGAGAACTGTGCCTGCCACACCAAACCGATTCAAATCTCATCCGAGTACGGTGCCTGCCACACCAACACTATTCAAATCTCATTCGAGTACTGAGCCTGCCATACCAATCCCATTCAAATCTCATCCGAGTATTGCGCTTGCTACTCCACCACACTGAACCCAATCAAATCTCATCCGAGTACTGTGCCTGCCACACCAAACCTATTCAAATCTCATCCGAGTACTGTGCCTGCCACATCAAACCTATTCAAGTCTCATCCGAGTACTGTGCCTGCCACACCAAACCTATGCAAATCTCATCCGAGTACTGTGCCTGCCACACCAAACCTATTCAAATCTCATCCGAGTACTGTGCCTGCCACACCAAACCTATTCAAATCTCATCCGAGTACTGTGCCTGCCACACCAAACCTATTCAAATCTCATCCGAGTGTGCCTGCCACACCAAACCTATCCCATCTCTCCCATAGCTGTGCCTGCACCAAACCTATTCAAATCTCATCCGAGTACTGTGCCTGCCACACCAAACCTATTCAAGTCTCATCCGAGTACTGTGCCTGCCACATCAAACCTATTCAAGTCTCATCCGAGTACTGTGCCTGCCACACCAAACCTATGCAAATCTCATTCGAGTACTGTGCCTGCCACACCAAACCTATGCAAATCTCATCCGAGTACTGTGCCTGCCACACCAAACCTATTCAAATCTCATCCGAGACTGTGCCTGCCACACCAAACCTATTCAAATCTCATCCGAGTACTGTGCCTGCCACACCAAACCTATTCAAATCTCATCCGAGTACTGTGCCTGCCACACCAAACCTATTCAAATCTCATCCGTATTGCCTGCCACACCACACCCATTCAAGTCTCATCCGAGTACTGTGCCTGCCACACCAAACTTATTCAAATCTCATCCGAGTACTGTGCCTGCCACACCAAACCTGTTCAAACCTCACTCAAATCTCATCCGAGTACTGTGCCTGCCACACCAAACCTGTTCAAATCTCATCCGAGTATTGCACTTGCTACTCCACCACACTGAACCCAAACAAATCTCATCCGAGTACTGTGCCTGCCACACCAAACCTATTCAAATCTCATCCGAGCACTGTGCCTGCCACACCAAACCTATTCAAATCTCATCCGAGTACTGTGCCTGCCATACCAATCCCATTCAAATCTCATCCGAGTATTGCGCTTGCTACTCCACCACACTGAGCCCATTCAAATCTATTCCGAGTACTGTGCCTGCCACACCAAATCTATTCAAATCTCATCCGAGTACTGTGCCTGCCACACCAAACCTATTCAAATCTCATCCGAGAACTGTGCCTGCCACACCAAACCTATTCAAATCTCATCCGAGTACTGTGCCTGCCACACCAAACCTATTCAAATCTCATCCAAGTACTGTGCCGGCCACACCAAACCTATTCAAATCTCATCCGAGTACTGTGCCTGCCACACCAAACCTATTCAAATCTCATCCAAGTACTGTGCCTTCCACACCACTTTCAAATCTCATCAAACCTATCCCCCTCAAAATCTCACTTCAAATCTCATCCGAGTACTGTGCCGGCCACACCAAATCTATTCCAATCCTCATCCGAGTACTGTGCCTGCCACACCAACCTTTTCAATCTCATCCGAGTACTGTGCTGCCCAAACCAAAACCTATTCCTCTCATCCGAGTACTGTGCCTGTGCCCACCCAAAACCTATTCAAAACAGCTCTCCGAGTACTGTGCCTGCCACACCAAACCTAGTCAAATCTCATCCGAGTACTGTGCCTGCCACACCAAACCTATTCAAATCTCATCCGAGTACTGTGCCTGCCACACCAAACCTATTCAAATCTCATCCGAGTACTGTGCTTGCCACACCAAACCTATTCAAATCTCATCCGAGTACTGTGCCTGCCACATCAAACCTATTCAAATCTCATCCGAGTACTGTGCCTGCCACACCAAACCTACTCAAATCTCATCCGAGTACTGTGCCTGCCACAACAGACCTATTCAAATCTCATCCGAGTACTGTGCCTGCCACACCAAACCTATTCAAATCTCATCCGAGTACTGTGCCTGCCACACCAAACCTATTCAAATCTCATCCGAGTACTGTGCCTGCCACACCAAACCTATTCAAATCTCATCCGAGTACTGTGCCTGCCACACCAAACCTATTCAAATCTCATCCGAGTCCTGTGCCTGCCACACCAAACCTATTCAAATCTCATCCGAGTACTGTGCCTGCCACACCAAACCTATTCAAATCTCATCCGAGTACTGTGCCTGCCACACCAAACCTATTCAAATCTCATCCGAGTACTGTGCCTGCCACACCAAACCTATTCAAATCTCATCCGAGTAACCTCTGCTGGGCGAAGAGTGGCAGTAGCCGGTTTCGTAGACGATTCGGAGCATTACGCCCAAGGAGTGTGGCAACTACGGCATCTTTTGCGTGACCTCCATGTTGGTAGCATGCTCACAGGAGTCGGATACGCGTGGGATAAATTCTCAGCTCTTTGTACGGATTGGGAGGACATGATGGGCTCCCTGGAGGGTGAGAACATTGGGCTCACGATGGAAGGAGTTCCGGTCTCCGGATTCGACATTTGGACAGGTGGCGCTCGCAACGAATTCTTGCCGCGCGCCCGGGAAGGCGACACTGAGAAACTCTTGGGCAAGAGGGGAACATTCGAAGACCGCAACACCATGGCGGCAGCGGATTTGCAGGACAAGCTGGACAATCTGAGGCGGCGGCTCAGCACTAGGCGTTTGAGCTGGGATGAATTGATCATGAGTGCACAATTTTTCGGCATTGGCCACATCAACTATGCTCCGTTGATTGGGATACCTCTTCCGGTCCTCCTCCATCGACACGATGCTGATGTTCAGCGCCTTCTGTTGAGAGCTCTGCGCGTGCGTTCCACTGCCGAACGGGTAGGACTCATGGCCCCTCGTCACGCAGGTGGGTTGCAACTATGCTCGACTGTGGAATCAGTGCTGGGAGCATTGGCGGCAGAACTCCTTCGACTCCTCAACAGCCCCCTGCTGGTGGGTCAGTTGGCACGCGATTCCTTTAGGACAGCTATGCTCCAGGACCCCACAGAGGTGGACTGCCAGGATGGAGTAGTTCTTCGTGCGCTGGAGTTCCTTGCCGGTTACGGGGTCTTCATCACTGCGAGCATGGACCGCACTGTAGGCCGTATCTTGGATGAAATCTTCTCATTGCAAAGCACAACTCCAGCGGACATGGTGGGCCTCTTCGATGCCCGCCGGTTCAATGCATCTATCAAGTACTGCAGGGTCGGGAAACTGGCCAACGCGGTCCGCTCCAAGGTTACCGCGCTCCGAAACGGCGGAGTCGCGGTTGATACCTGGCATTCGCCTGAGTTGTGGGGTGGCGTGGAAGAGGTGGCCGAAGTGCCTGCTCATATTTGTGCCACTGCAGCAGGTATGGCCAGGGACAGAGCGCAACGTGACTGGACAGCCGAATGCGACTTGCACCAAGTTGTACAACGGGATATTCCTGAGGATTGGAATGATAGTGCCTGGGAGTCGCCCGATTATCTTGAAGCCGACGCGCGTGCTCGTCACCTGGATGCGACCATAGAAGGGTTTCACCAAAATGAGGAATTTGCCATGTATGCGGACGGAGGGGAGGATGACAATTGCTGTACTTTTGCCGCTCAAGCCAGGGGCTTCATGCCTGCGGAGTCGTCTTGGGATGTCACCGGCAGGGTACTGCCGCAGGTCCGCGGTAAGCTCCCACGTAGATACGGGTGGGAGCACACCAACATCCACACTGCGGAGTTCTTTGCCATGCTGATTGCCCTGCGTTGGAGTCGACCAGACAGGTGGAATCTCCTTGTTGTCGACAGAAGCTCCCTCTTCCCGCTCCTCCGGGCTTGCGCGGAAGGTGATCCTACCAGATTACTCAGGTTTTCATGCGTTCACCTGATGTCCCGATTACGCGCGGTTAAACGGAAACTTATTCGTTCCTGGACGGGCGCAGACAATCCGCCACGGTGGAGACTTGACCAGGCCAGGCGGCCGGAACGCTGGACGGTTTCTGAACCTCTCCCGAGTGGTAGGGCGCGCTCCTTGTGTGAAATTGCGTACAGTGAGCACGGCTTAGTGGGTATTGACATTGGCAGTCATCAAGGCCCTGACACGGCCACTATCAAAGTTTTAGTGGAGGGCAACGACCGTCAGGATGCCGGATGTGCTCAGGCACGCTCCAACAGCCTGCCGGATGATATTTGGTGGCCTTCAGGGGGACCTGCGTTCCAGCTGTCCTACCAGGGGAGAGCCGTCACTCAGCCAGCACGTGAGTTCCTTAGGGGTCTAATGCGGCAGGAAGCGCTAGCCAAATGGCGACTCCGCACAGTGCAAGGGAAATGCAGCGCTACCCCGGGCATCTTTACTCCAGGACTTGACATCCGTCTCTTCACCGCGGGCTGCGTTACTGGCGAACGGCAAGCCTGGTGCCTGGATAAGGACACCCAGGCGACAGACATCTCACCCTTCGCTTATCGTTGCATACGCGCGGTTGGTGGTTGCTGGACGGAACGTCTCCATGCGGACCCGGCACTGTAGCGCCTGGGGCAGCGTTGGTCCCAGATCTCTGGTCACCCGGTCAGGACCTGTCCCTTATGCAGAACGCGACCAGGGACACCCAGACATGTGGTCATGGCCTGCCCGGCAATGGAGCCGCTGGTCAACCGTCTGCGGGATGATTTAGAGAAGGAACTGGGGAGTGTTGTAGACAGCGCCGAGCTCATTCAGGCTGCTAATCAGTCACACCTCACTCACAAAGTGGCGTCGCACACAACTGCGCAACGGTGGCCGATCTTGTCCGCTTGGAAATGGTTTGTGCCACTCATCTCCGAGATTGAAGACTTTGGACATGATGACGCATCAAGCAGCCGGCTTGTCACCAGTTCGGAACTGGGACACGATTTAGCCTATCGTGGCATCATGCCCAAGGAGCTGGGACTATTCCTTCGGCGTCGTGGACACTCCGCCCCACAACGCTTGTCGCCTGAGGAGGAGGTTCAGGATGAGCAGTTCGGCTCGTTCCTCGACATGCAGGGGGCGGCGGAGGAGTTAGCGGCCAGCATGTCGAAGTGCGAACTGGCGGCAGGGGCAGCGACGGGTCCACTGCGCCTCCTCATGCTGGGTCTTCGATGCGTGCGGGCAGAATACCTTAGACGCTTTGACGCCTGGTCCGCGGCGCTGGCGGCGTCCCTCAATGATCCTCCGGACCCTGAGCTCCCTGTGGATCAGATGCGCCAACGCCTGCCGGCGGCCGCTGAGCGTGCCCGTAACTGGCTCCTTTCAGATGCAGGCCGCAACCTCGTGCGCGAACTGAGATGGTTAGCACCTGACCGACGAACTGCAGTTGCCCGACTGCGCGCCGAACTTCGCACCGCCCTGTCACATGAACGTCTGGCAGGGATCCTGATGAAGTCAAGCGTGCCCTCCCGGGCTGGCACAGCGCTCTCCTGGAGTTCTGGTCAGGCCACTTGGGGGGTGTACCGGCTGACACTGCAAACTGTGTGTAGCTGCCCCGTTGTGGCGCCTGTGCCTCTGGTTGCTTGTTGCTCTCGATGTCAAGGGGTACAGCTTGCTGGTGCAGAGGCCCCTTTGCCTTGCCCTTGGTGCAATCGTTTGGACGGAGCCCCCTGCGCGGCCTGTGCCGTGACCATTCATTTTAGAGGAGCCTGCCAGTGGAACAAGGGTGCACATGCAGTGTACCGGCCGCAAGCGGAAGAGGCCGTCCAACTTTGCCCTGATTGCCACTGGCTCTGGATCACGGCGCGCGATCGCCTTCCTTTTGCTCAGCAGCTGGCTCCTCCTGCGGACATCGCCAGCCACATGAACGAGTTAGTGGAGCATTGTCTACCAGGAGCCGGCTTCAGCAGCCTGCGGGTAACAGAGGGCCGCAAACAGCGCATCCCTCGCTTCTTGTCCAGATGGCTCCGCCAAGAATGGGCGCCGCTGATTCAGGCTGCTCACGACTTCATCCGGCGGCGTGAGCCTCTTGTTCAAGACCTCGAAGTGATCTTTTCGGAGCTTCAACACGAGACAGACAGACTGGTCCAGCGCGGACTGGCAGATAGCCGCTCAATGCAGCGACACAGACTCGTTCGGCGCAGAACGTGAGGGCAAAACTGGGCGTTTTCCACATTCTTCACACATTGCGCATCATTTGCACAAGCATGCCCTCCTGGCTTTATGCAGCCCAAACTTTGCAGATCGTTTTGCAGAGAGGCGTTGAGATCTGCTAGCTGGCCTCCGTTCATTCCGCTCGTTCGTCCGTTTCGTGCGTCTCGTGTTGTTGTTCTCCGTTGCTGTTCCTGTGCGTTGTGTTGTTGGGGTTTGCTCTTTAGGCCTTGCGCCGGAGGGGCTACCTTTTTGTTAGGCCAGGCTCGTGCCTCGGTCGATGCTCACCTCACCTCACCTCACCTCACCTCACCTCACCTCACCTCACCTCACCTCTCATCCGAGTACTATGCCTGCCACACCAAACCTATGCAAATCTCACTCAAATCTCATCCGAGTACTGTGCCTGCCACACCAAACCTATTCAAATCTCATCCGAGTACTGTGCCTGCCACACCAAACCTATTCAAATCTCATCCGAGTACTGTGCCTGCCACACCAAACCTATTCAAATCGCATCCGAGTACTGTGCCTGCCACACCAAACCTATTCAAATCTCATCCGAGTACTGTGCCTGCCACACCAAACCTATTCAAATCTCATCCGAGTACTGTGCCTGCCACACCAAACCTATTCAAATCTCATCCGAGTACTGTGCCTGCCACACCAAGCCTATTCAAATCTCATCCGAGTACTGTGCCTGCCACACCAAACCTATTCAAATCTCATCCGAGTACTGTGCCTGCCACACCAAACCTATTCAAATCTCATCCTACTGTGCTTGCCACACCAAACCTATTCAAATCTCATCCGAGTACTGTGCCTGCCACACCAAACCTATTCAAATCTCATCCGAGTACTGTGCCTGCCACACCAAACCTATTCAAATCTCATCCAGTCAATCCGAGCGCCTGACACCAAACCTATCAAAGCCTCCCACACCAAACCATTCAAATCTCATCCGAGTACTGTGCCTGCCACACCAAACCTATTCAAATCTCATCCGAGTACTGTGCCTGCCACACCAAACCTATTCAAATCTCATCCGAGTACTGTGCCTGCCACACCAAACCTATTCAAATCTCATCCGAGTACTGTGCCTGCCACACCAAACCTATTCAAATCTCATCCGAGTACTGTGCCTGCCACACCAAACCTATTCAAATCTCATCCGAGTACTGTGCCTGCCACACCAAACCTATTCAAATCTCATCCGAGTACTGTGCCTGCCACACCAAACCTATTCAAATCTCATCCGAGTACTGTGCCTGCCACACCAAACCCATTCAAATCTCATCCGAGTACTGTGCCTGCCACACCAAACCATTCAAATCTCATCCGAGTACTGTGCCTGCCACACCAAACCCATTCAAATCTCATCCGAGTACTGTGCCTACCACACCAAACCCATTCAAATCTCATCCGAGTACTGTGCCTGCCACACCAAACCCATTCAAATCTCATCCGAGTACTGTGCCTGCCACACCAAAACCATTCAAATCTCATCCGAGTACTGTGCCTGCCACACCAAACCCATTCAAATCTCATCCGAGTACTGTGCCGCAACCCCAAACTATCAAATTCTCATCCGAGGTACTGGGCCTGCCAACCAAACCTATTCAAATCTCACTCAAAGCTCATCGAGTAACCTGTCAAATCTCATTTCCGATACTGGGCCGTGCCCCCAACCCTATGCAAATCTCACTCAATAATCTCATCCGAGTACTGTGCCTGCCACACCAAACCTATTCGAATCTCATCCGAGCACGGTGCCTGCCACACCAAACCTTTTCAAATCTCATCCGAGTACTGTGTTTGCCACACCAAACCTATTCAAATCTCATCCGAGTACTGTGCCTGCCACACCAAACCTATTCAAATCTCATCCGAGTACTGTGCCTGCCACACCAAACCTATTCAAGTCTCATCGGAGTACTGCTCTTGCCACACCAAACCTATTCAAATCTCATCCGAGTACTGTGCCTGCCACACCAAACCTATTCAAATCTCATCCGAGTACTGTGCCTGCCACACCAAACCTATTCAAATCACATCCGAGTACTGTGCCTGCCACACCAAACCTATTCAAATCTCATCCGAGTACTGTGCCTGCCACACCAAACCTATTCAAATCTCATCCGAGTCCTGTGCCTGCCACACCAAACCTATTCAAATCTCATCCGAGTACTGTGCCTGCCACACCAAACCTATTCAAATCTCATCCGATTACTGTGCCTGCCACACCAAACCTATTCAAATCTCATCCGAGTACTGTGCCTGCCACACCAAACCTATTCAAATCTCATCCGAGTACTGTGCCTGCCACACCAAACCTACTCAAATCTCATCCGAGTACTGTGCCTGCCACACCAAACCTATTCAAATCTCATCCGAGTACTGTGCCTGCCACACCAAACCTATTCAAATCTCATCCGAGTACTGGGCCTGCCACACCAAACCTATTCAAATCTCATCCGAGTACTGTGCCTGCCACACCAAACCTATTCAAATCTCATCCGAGTACTGTGCCTGCCACACCAAACCGATCCAAATCTCATCCGAGTATCTGTGCCCGCCAACCTTTTCCAAATCTCATCCGAGTACTGTGCCTGCCACACCAACCCTATTCAAATCTCACCCGAGTACTGTGCCTGCCACACCAAACCTATTCAAATCTCATCCGAGTACTGTGCCTGCCACACCAAACCTATTCAAATCTCATCCGAGTACTGTGCCTGCCAAAACAGACCTATTCAAATCTCATCCGAGTACTGTGCCTGCCACACCAAACCTATTCACATCTCATCCGAGTACTGTGCCTGCCACACCAAACCTATTCAAATCTCATCCGAGTACTGTGCCTGCCACACCAAACCTATTCAAATCTCATCCGAGTACTGTGCCTGCCACACCAAACCTATTCAAATCTCATCCGAGTACTGTGCCTGCCACATCAAACCTATTCAAATCTCATCCGAGTACTGTGCCTGCCACACCAAACCTATTCAAATCTCATCCGAGTACTGTGCCTGCCACACCAAACCTATTCAAATCTCATCCGAGTACTGTGCCTGCCACACCAAACCTATTCAAATCTCATTCGAGTACTGTGCCTGCCACACCAAACCTATTCAAATCTCATCCGAGTACTGTGCCTGCCACACCAAACCTATTCAAATCTCATCCGAGTACTGTGCCTGCCACACCAAACCTATTCAAATCTCATCCGAGTACTGTGCCTGCCACACCAAACCTATTCAAATCTCATCCGATTACTGTGCCTGCCACACCAAACCTTTTCAAATCTCATCCGAGTACTGTGCCTGCCACACCAAACCTATTCAAATCTCATCCGAGTACTGTGCCTGCCACACCAAGCCTATTCACATCTTATCCGAGTTCAGTGCCTGCCGCACCAAACCTATTCACATCTCATCTGAGCACTGTGCCTGCCACACCAAACCTAATCAAATCTCATCCGAGCACTGTGCCTGCCACACCAAACCTTTTCAAATCTCATCCGAGTACTGTGCCTGCCACACCAAACCTATTCAAATCTCATCCGAGTACTGTGCCTGCCACACCAAACCTCTTCAAATCTCATCCGAGTACTGTGCCTGCCACACCAAACCTATTCAAGTCTCATCCGAGTACTGTGCCTGCCACACCAAACCTATTCAAATCTCATCCGAGTACTGTGCCTGCCACACCAAACCTATTCAAATCTCATCCGAGTACTGTGCCTGCCACACCAAACCTATTCAAATCTCATCCGAGTACTGTGCCTGCCACACCAAACCTTTTCAAATCTCATCCGAGTACGGTGCCTGCCACACTAAACCTATTCAAATCTCATCCGGGTACTGTGCCGGCCACACCAAACCTATTCAAATCTCATCCGAGTACTGTGCCTGCCACACCAAACCTATTCAAATCTCATCCGAGTACTGTGCCTGCCACACCAAACCTATTCAAATCTCATCCGAGTACTGTGCCTGCCACACCAAACCTATTCAAATCTCATCCGTATTGCCTGCCACACCACAGCCATTCAAGTCTCATCCGAGTACTGTGCCTGCCACACCAAACCTATTCAAATCTCATTCGAGTATTGTGTCTGCCACACCAAATTGTACACCTATCATTTTTATTATCTCCTAGTATGTTTTTTTTTTTTTATGTCATCGGACTGCCTATGACATTTTATTGATTAACTTCATGTCATATCTCTCATCGCAGAGTACTATTTACCTGCCACACCCAAAACCTTATTTCAAATCTCAGCGAGTACTGTGCCTGCCCACAAAACTAGTCAAATTCATCCGAGACTGTGCCTGCCACACCAACACTATTAAAATCTCATAGGTGCACACGGGTGCCTGCACACCAAACCTATTTCAACTCTCATCCGGGAGTTAACGAGTACTGTGCCTGCCACACCAAACCTATTCAAATCTCATCCGAGTACTGTGCCTGCCACACCAAACCTATTCAAATCTCATCCGAGTACTGTGCCTGCCACACAAAACCTATTCAAATCTCATCCGAGTACTGTGCCTGCCACACCAAACCTATTCAAACCTCATCCGATTACTGTGCCTGCCATACCAAACCTATTTAAATCTCATCTGGGTACTGTGCCTGCCACACTAAACCTATTAAAATCTCATCCGAGTACTGTGCCTGCCACACCAAACCTATTCAAATCTTATCCGAGTACTGTGCCTGCCACACCAAACCTATTCAAATCTCATCCGAGTACTGTGCCTGCCACACCAAACCTATTCAAAATCTCATCCGAGCACTGTGCCTGCCACACCAAACCTATTCAAATCTCATCCGAGTACTGTGCCTGCCACACCAAACCTAGTCAAATCTCATCCGAGTACTGTGCCTGCCACACTAAACCTATTCAAATCTCCTCGGAGTACTGTGCCTGCCACACCAAACTTATTCAAATCTCATCCGAGTACTGTGCCTGCCACACCGAACCTATTCAA